TTTATATGATAGCTGCTCAGATCTCATCAAGTATGCTGTAACCACAGCTGCACTATAGAAAATGGAAAGAAGAAAGTCTCAACTAGGAATACTAATGGGAAAAAAACAAGAGAATGGGAAGAGAAGAAAACATCAACAAATCCGGCATGCAATTAGTGAAGAATAGGCACATTTGGAAAATGCAAACTCCGATTGATACATGAATATCTCATCATCTTCGGTTCAAAAAAACAGAGTGCGTGCATCTTTCGCCATTCCATGATGAGTGAAACTACACAAATTCCTCCAAATAATTTTTGGTCATTTCTTCCATTTAAGAAGTCATACCAGCATAACTTGCATAACGTATTTCTATACAGAATAATATCAATAAGAAGTCATACCAGCATAACTCGTATAACGTAATATTATCAACAAACAAGAACAACAAAGCCTGAGCTACGTATTTTGAACTAACAGCAGCTCGGCTCTTCTAGATATGATAGACCAAAGTCATATAACTCAGCAGTAAATACAACTCGAACAAATAACCAGACATTGGATTTAGAGACTGCGTACCTTCTTGAGGCACCGGCAAAACAATGCACCAGCACACCCCCCTTTTTCCTACTTTCTTCAATGAAATCCAAACACACTTCCAAATTACCCAGCAAGTTCTCACTCTCCACATCCCTTAGAGCCACTGCCATCCTCACAAACTTCAGATCCTTCCCAACATGCTCCAACAAGTACATGAGCTTCTGGTTTGATCCATTACCACCAAAATACACCTTACGAATCTCCTGGGCCGGGATCGCTGGCTCAGTGCGCCATAAAAATGAAAATGAAGCAGAGCTGTTGACTGATAGTATGTGCGTAATCCGCTCGCTGCCTTGCTGGAGAATCTCGGCAGCATCTCTCATGTTCCCGATTAACAGATTCTCGCGAACTTGATAAGGCATGTTTCACAATCTGATCCGGGAATTAAATAATCTAGCTATTTATTAGATAGCGGCATTGAAACAAAAATACTAACATTCATCTTAATTCTAAAGTTCTTCGCATTAGGAGGTGGACTTTTAAGAACATAAACACAGAATTTCTCTTATGCAGTAATTAAACTCTGATAAGAACTTTTCAACTACAGATATGGTCTAAGCGGAGCAATGATCGTAATTAGCCGTGTTTACCAGATTTCCTGTATAAAGGAATGAAATTAAAATGAATCAAACATCAACTAATATAACAGCTACACATAACACATTGATTCCGATGAGAATAAGAGATAGGGCCGGGAGAAAGGACGGCATACCTCAGGGGAAGAAGAATATTCCGGCGGGTAGCTGCGTTAGTCACCGGCACGTCTTCAACCTTTTGGGGGCTTGTAACAACGTATAAGTAGACTGTTAGAAAGAGATTTCTTTGTGACTAAGGCACGTACGGTTCCTTCCACTTATTTTTGGTGCTTAGTCTCTCCGTCTCAGTGTATTTGTTTAGTTTGATTTTTTTGAATAAAATCGGACAAATTTTGAGACTCAATTAAATAAAAATCATAATATATTTTAACATAAAATGACTTTATTGGATTTATCGTATTGAGAATTTTCAAAATTGTATTTCATTATGCTAATATACAATATAAATTCAGAGTAATTGGAGTTCAAAATTTGTCTAGTTTGACTCGAAAAAGTCAAACTGGACAAATACACTGGGACGGAGATAGTATTACTTATTCTTATTATAATCAGATCAAATCAGATTCGATCAAACTAGACCAAATCAGATCGGAAACATCTTCAATTATAAATGCAATCAAATTAGATTAGATCTTCAAAAAATCATATCAGATCAAGCGAACGTAATGCGACCTAAGTCACCTTTCCTTTTATTTATTCCCTAAAAAGGATACTTGGAAAATGATGATATGTTATGTAGGGAGATCAAGAGATGCCATCCAAATGAATCGGATAGACTAATCAATATGAAGAGTTGTATTTGATGATTTTTTGTGTGTATAAAAGTGTATCAGCTAGACAGCTACTCACTTCGTCCCTAATTTGATTACATATTTGGGGTCCCTAATTTGATTACATATTTGGGGTTGCGAGACGAAATCTTTAATTTTTTGAAATCATTGTATTTACAAATTTATACATTAATAAGAAATAAAAATTACTCCGTACATATTTAAAAAACTACGACTTAAAAATACTCCCTCCGTCCAAGAATAAACTTCCTACACTACCTTTTTTTTCGTCCGAAAAAAATCTTCCTACTCTACTTTTTCAAACCCACTCTTCCAAAATTACCCTTCTTCCCCTTCCCCATCTCCCCTCTCTTTTCTACTCCTCCTCAATCGCCAGTCCGCAACCCCCCTTCTCTACTTCTCTATCTCTCTCTTCCCCCCTCTCCTTTTTTCTTTTCTCAATATTTCTTTCTTCCCCACGGCCAAATCTGGCCTTATCTTCCTCTCTCTCTTCCCCCTTTTTTTCTGGTTTCTTTCTTTCCTTTCTCGGCCAGGTCATATATCTCTTCCCGATCCACCTTCTTCTTCTTCTTCTTCTCCTTCTCCTTCTCCTTCTTGTAGATTTGTGTTAGATCTGTAGCTGTGGGGGCAGGACAGTGGTGGGCGGTGTGGTGGTTGTGAGGCTGAGGCAACGATGGGCCGGCGATGATGCTTGTGCAGCGGTGGGGAAACAGTGGGTCAGGGTAGCAGTCGGGTGGTGGGGCTGGGCCGGTGGAGGGGCGGCGGCAGTGGAGGGGCGGCGGTGGGGCTTGTGCAAAGGAATGATAGTGGGGGGCAAAATGAGGGTAATTTGGACATTTTGATGATGTATTCAACCCTCACTAAAAATGAGGAAAAGTCAAAGTAGGAAGCTTATTCCCGGACGGAGGGAGTAGTTACATTTTAGTTTTTGGTGAAATATTATAAACTTTCACCATAAATTATGATATAATATACTCGTATTCAGGGTCGTCTCCGAGAAATTAAGGACCATGTACGACACATAGAAAAATTGGTCATTGTGTCATAATATAATAAAATCTATCAATTACTTTATTTAAAAATAATTAAATTATACAAATAAGAATAATAAAATATAAAATACTAGGCCCACTGCCCTTTACTTTTTTGTGTTTTAAATTTTTTATATTAATAAACAAATGTGTACATACATACACACACACACACACACATATATATATAGGGGCAGGATCAGGTGAGAATGCACCTTGGTGAAAGAAATAAGAATAAAATCTAGCCTTTGGATCTGATGCATCGTGCGGCTCAGATTGTATCCTGCGCTCAGATTTTGAGATAGTGCATTTTCAAAGGTTTTTTGTGCATTTCGACATCATGCATTTTCAAACCATTTTGGTGCATCTAATTTTGATCTAATCTTGACCCTTAGATCTCACAATCTAAAGCACCAGATTCATTCTTATTTCTTTCATAAGATCGCATTCTCACTTGAACATATATATATATATATATATATATATATATATATATATATATATATATATATATATATATATATGCCAGTGGCACTGGAACCGGGCCGTATATATATATATATATATATGTATGTATGTATGTATGTATGTATGTATGTATGTATGTATGTATGTATGTATGTATGTATGTATGTATATATATATATAATACTTGGGCCCCCTAGAAAAATGGGCCCTGTCCCAATGGCCAGGCTGCCCCTGCCTCCAGCCGGCCCTGCTCGTATTTAGTTACTTCCTTCGTCCAAAAACGATAATTTCAAATCATATTTTTGGTTGTTTGAAAATAATCTTCCAAATTTCATTTTTACGAAGTAATATTTTAAAATACCACATCTACACTCACTCTTTTGTTAATACACCATACCCACCTCATCTAGCATTCTAGCGTGAAAATTCAATTTGGGAAGTTTTTTCCCAAACACATGGAGTATAATGTAAATATAATTTAATTCCTCTTTAAAAATATACCTTTCTCGGCCTTTTGGCTAAGATCAAGTGTAGTTTTTGTGAAAAAAAGAAAAAAATTCATCTTAAAATATAATTTTTGATATATTAAATTTTTATAATCCCTAAGCTACGTCCCATTGTATTTATCCAACTTGATTTTTTTGAGACAAACATGGCGAACTTTAATCATGGATACTCTTAATTTTTAAAGCATTTTAATATAAGAAAATTAAATTTTAAAAATTCTCAACAAGATAAATCTAATAAAATCATTTTTATACTTACGTACTTTACAATTGTGTTTAATTGAAGCCATAAGTTCGATCAGTTTGACTCAAAAATGTCAAACTAGAAGAATACATTGGAACGAAGATAGTACTAACTCCCTTCCAGAGTATTTGTCCACTTTCATTTTTACACACCATCCAATACACTTCTTTAATCCATTTTAGCTTGTAATTTGTATATTAAAAAATTATAGAAATTATATATTAATAATCTATATATTAAGACAAATCAAACAAGATCACACATGACTATATTTAAGCTTACACATTGAGAGAATTTGATGAGTCAAAGTGCTTTGATGAACAGTTCCAAAAGTCAAAACTGAACGAATACTCCGGGACGGAGGGAGTAATATTTATTTACGTAAACTTGTACTCCGCAATTATTAACAATCAAAATATCGCAGTGATGATCGTGAAAAATCAAATATAAAGATCTTTTTAAAAACAACGGAGTATATATCATGTTTTATTCGGATAAATTTCACAAATGGTATACGAAGTTTAAGCAATACTTCATTTCGGCACAGTAATTTTAAACTATATCCCAAATATATTTATGGCGTCATCCAAGTCTTGGAGTACCTGGTTACCCATTTTCTCCTTTATATGACGAAGCTGAAATGTTTAATAAACGGTAAGAAGGAAGAACGATGAAGATGCATTAAGTAGTAGTAGTAGTAGTTGTTGTTGTTGTTCCATGCTTGGATGTAAAGAAGGAACAAATCAACTTCTTAATCAAGCTAGTTGGCAATAGAACATATTTTGCAGTACTCTAAATTTTCATTTCAAAATTCATTGGTTGGAGAGAGCCAAAGGTTCTTTAAAGGGGGGGGATCAGATGTACAAGCTTCATGCACAAGATGGTAGATTCAGAACAACATCTCATGTGCAAAGAGTTAAAAGTTATTAACTTTTGTTTTGCTGATGAATTGATTGTAGTCTGATGAGTGATGAGAACTCTAAAGGCAGGATCCTGTTAATTCTATCAAACAACAAGATTATATATCAACCAAGCAAAGTCTCAGATTATTATTGGAGGAGTGAATTCTGAAAAGGAACACAAGGTTTTGGGGATGACCAATATGTCCTTTTGACTGTCTTGGTAGCCCAATTAGATCTGCAAGACTTGGTGAAACAGATTGTGAGAAGTTGATTGAGAAGCTAGCTACTAAGATCACCTCATGGAACACAAGGAAGATATCTCTTATGCAAGAAGGGTTAGGCTTATCTACCTCTGTAGCGGGGCGATGCCTGATCTCACATGTGATGAAATTTCACAAAGTGCTGAGGTCCACCCGGCTTTTGTGGAGCTGAAAGGCAGGGGTGATCCAACTTCCGCAATTGCACTGAATGCCTGACCAATTGAAGTAGCCAAGCCGAGCCTCGCAATGGATGCAGGAGAGCTTTCCTTCCAGAGCACCCTCTCCAACTGTGCACCATAACCATGTGGCATGTAAGAACAAAAAATGGCTCCCTCACAAAATGTAACTTCACACTTGGGTAATTCACACTTCTAGAAGGGGAATAATTATCACTTTGCACCCTCAGAAAGAAAAAATTAGTAAACTAATAGGTGCACCCTTGAAAATAATAAAACACTTCAAAGCGCACATTCACACATTTTCAGTCTGGTTTCATGCAAAGCTTAAACAACTTCGATCAAGTTTAGGAGTATTTTCAATTGAGAAGCCTCTTTTCCTTTCAAAATTGGAATCTTGCTGCTCTGTAAAAATCTCCAGCCAGACTCAACTCTTTTGTTATAGTGGCAATACACGACTAGTTTTGGTTGAGGTTTTGGAAGAAAAAGGGGTGCTCAAGAAAATACACATTGGACTGACCAGAGCTTTTAATTTTTTTTAAAGAAAATTAGTTTGAAAATGCATTGAGGGTGCACTTTGGAGCGCTTTAGTATATTTGATGGTTCATATTGGAGTGTCATAATATTTTTGAGTGTTCACTTTAGAGTGCTATTGTACTATCTTTGGGAGTGCACTTTTTAATAATTTCATTTTGAGGGTGTTAATCCACTTATTAATTATTCCCTTTTAAGGGGTGCAAAGTGAAAATAACCCAACACGCTCTCTACTTCTCAACATTTTTTATTAAACTCCATGAACTCAAACCATGAATTTAATTCGAGGGCAGAGAGAGTAATAATTACTCCCACCGTCCCAAAATGAAGCTTACAGTTTGTCTTTGCAGAGTTCAAGAAAAGTGTAAGGTGAAAGGTATGTGGTTGAAACTTATTCAAAAGAAAGAGGAATTATAAGAGACACATTTGTTTCCTAAAAGGGAAAGTGAAAAGTGTGAACTTCATTTTGAGACATCCAAAAAAGGAAAGTATAAACATCATTTTGGGACATATGGAGTATTAGGCTGATGAAGAAGACAATAGTTGAAAGGGATGGACTTGAACAATGATGGAATCTAGATCTCCTACTATTTATTTACTTTTTTGAACGCCATGTTTATTCTTTCATGAGATATAAAATGCATGATGCAGAAGATCATGAGCCCATTTGGTAGAGGCAAGTTTCACAGAATGAGCTAAGGCTCCGAAACGTAAATTATTTGGCTTATTCTGCTTGGAAATTATATATTACCAAAGCAAGCATATTAGCGAAAATACTCTTTACCAAGCTGGCTGTATTCAAAACGAACTTTTATGTGATGATAGCGTCATTCTGTCATTTATCTCCTGTTAAAACATTTGAGAAAAAATATCAATAATTTCTGCCATACTTCCTTTAATTATTAGCCTTAAACCATATAAACAAAAGAGCGACAGCTTCGGCCAAACTTTCTTTTATTACTCATATTAGCCAATTGAAATAAAGTTAGTTTTGGTAGACAATACAGGTGATAAACTAAAGATGAAGAAAAAAGAAAAGGGCAGCACCTGTTGTCATCCACTGAAGAGGCTCAATAAAGAGGGATGAACACTCATTGTCGTCTCCTTTGTCAAAAGGAAGGCCATTTCTCCTTTTAGACCATGCAAAAGCCGATTCACCCTCTCCAGGAACATGATCAACAACATTGTCTTGCAGTGCAACTATCCTCCTACATTTCTTGCAGCGGTATGCTTGAGTAGGAATGGCAGCTTTCATACTCGAGGACTTCTGCTCATCATCAACAAACGGGGTGATCTTTTGTGTTCTTGGTGGCAAAGCAGGATCTTCTGCAAACTTGGATGCATCTATTGTTTCCCCACAATTATAGCTCTCACCTGGATATATCATATATATATATAAACTGTACCATGTCAATCCGCCCCGCTCCTATTTTCTCTCTCCCAATTAATAAGTACTACTACCTCCTCCCCACTTCCAAAAAAAAGTTACATTTCACTAATGTACAATCTTTAATTATTTATTATAAGAAAAAAGAGGACAATAAACATTTTTTTATCATAACAAGGCATAACTATAATGTGTATGCGTGTGGCCACATGTGTGTAGCAAATTATATTCCTCTTTTCAAAAAAGGACTCTTTGTTAAGAACAGGAGTACAGAACTGGATTATGTAGGGTCTCTTATTTAGAACTGAAAGATAAATAGAGTGCTGAACTAAAACTTGAGTGGGATTAAGTTGAAAAGTACAGGTTCATTTCAGCAATGTCACAATTTCTCCTATGTTATTCCATATTTCACTTTCAACAACTAACAAAGAGGGCTATGTTTTGTGACGTCTAAGTTTTAGATGTATACATTTTAAAAAATTTAATAATAATAATACTACTAATAATAATAAACACAGATACACAACAAAAAATGTCATGAAGATCGAGATTGAAAACACCAGTCACAAGAGCTAAAAGCAACTAGTGTGTTTGTTTAATCACATGCATAATAGACATTGACAGAAGAAAATCATAATTATCTATATACTCCCTCCGTCCTGCAAAGATCTTCTCTATTCCTTTTGGGGATGTCCCAAAATCAACTTCCAACTTTTCTCATTTTCTTTAAATGAAATGAATATGTGACTCAAAATTTCAATCTTCTACACACATTTTTACCACACTTTTCACGTTTCAACATTTTTTAAACTCCGTGAAGTCAAAGAAAGAAGATCTTTGAGGGCCGGAGGAAGTATAAATATGTGGAAAGACGAATAAGGTAAGGAACTGGACCTAATTTTTTTAAGTGAAACCGTTTGTAAATGGAACTGGCATGATTAACCTTGAAGCCCATTTCTTCAAACATTTTCAACTGAAGGCACACGAAGAAAACATATTCTCAACTTAGCGCTGAGAAACTGGGCATGTACATAAGGCAATCGAGATGCCAGCTCATAAAACAATTTGAAAGGTCTGTATCACCTGATCTACAAAACCATCATTGGGGCAAACAGAATCGCAGCTTTGAGATAACAATTCAATTGCATCTTCAGAATCAGAACATGCAGGAGAAAGGAAGAGAAATGAAGTTAGGGGACGACTGGGTGTTTGGAAATAATAAACACAAATGATGGTCAAATCGTCTTCACTAAAATAGAAGGTCATAAATAAGGCGTGAAACAAACCACTAAAAGAATGATACAACTGAAAAATAATTATTCTAAGGATTAAGGAAAGTTGTATTTTTATCCCCCTGAATGGGTTGGCATTATATAACCTCCTACCTCCTTCAATTGTTATAGCTGAGATAAACTTGGTCCTTGTTAAAATCACTGTTTAATGTTTAGGCTCATGGGTAATCTTCTATATTGAGAATGCCCATATAGCTCAAAAGGCCTAATATTTAACAGTGTAAACAGTGACTTTACTCATAAGGACAATATATTTTCAAAAAAAGAAAGAAAAAGGAAGGCATATTCCATTGCACAATATCAAACAATGGGGTGGGGGGCTAAAAGTGCAGTTTTCCTTTTATAATACCTTTATATGATAGCTGCTCAGACCTCATTAAGTATGCTGTAACCATGGCTGCACTATAGAAGATGGAAGAAGAATGTGAATCCATAGGATTATATGCATGTTGCAAGAGAGAATGTCTTAATTGGAAATGCTAATGGGAAAACAAGAGAATGGGAAGACAAGAAAACATCAACAAATTTGGCATGCAATTAGTGAATAGGTGATAGATACCAAAAACTGGAAACTAAAAACAAGAACAAATCTTCTAGATCTCTTTAAATCAAGAATCTCGATTTTTGAGACTAAGAAGCCCAAGAGAATCTCTGAAAATATAAATGTAATATTACTCCTGCCCTTTAGCATAAACTGGCTAAGGGTATAAATAATGCAGTAATACAAGGGAAATAACAGAAAAGAGAAACTGACTCCTTGGGTTTAGATGGTGATCCCATCATCCCACCATTATCTCAGCTGACTCTAACAACTTTGACTGACCCAATTGCTAATAAAAAGGGATATTTTAAATGACTAACAACTTTGACTGACTCAATTACTAATAAAAAGGGATAGACTCATATTTAGGTAAATAAATAAATAAACATGACCAAGTCATAAAACATGACTAAGTCAAATGCTTATTCCTGCGCCGCTGATCAGTGGCTTAGTCTTATTCAGAGTCCTATCATTACTCCCTCCCTGGAAAACAGACTTGTCCTCAAGTCGAAAATCTGGAAATTGTGACGCCACCAAATCATACTCTTCCCAGGTAGCCTCTTCCGGCGGTCGGCCTTTCCATTGTACTAACACTTCTACTGTGTCAGCCTTCGAGCGTGTTTGCAGAACATTTTCAGGCTCTAATAGTAGCTCCATGTCAGGTGAAATGGGTAGTTCCGCTGGTGGAGTGGTGGGAGACTGCCCATGAGCTGGTCGTAGTAATGACACATGAAAAATAGGATGGATTCTAGCTGATGTAGGTAATTCAAGCTCGTATGCAACCTCTCCGATCTTTCGCAATATTTTGTAAGGTCCAAAAAAACGCGGAGAGAGTTTCATATACTTCTGATTGGTCAAGGAACGCTGCCTAAAGGGCTGAATTCTCAGAAAAACTGACTCGCCAACATTGAAATGTAACTCCCGGCGTTGTTGGTCCGCATATGCCTTCATGCGGTTCTGTGCCCTAAGTAAGTTATCATGGAGTAATTTGAGAATCGCATCCCTCATGAGCAATTGTTGTGCCAACTCTTCTACTTGAGTTTCACCGGGGACAAATGGATGAAGTGGTGGTGGATCTCGCCCATAAACTGCCTTAAAAGGTGTTGTGCCGGTGGAAACATGATAACTAGTGTTGAAAGAGTATTCAGCCCAACATAAATACTTACTCCATACCTTGGGTTGTTCATGGGCGAAACACCTTAAATAAGCTTCAAGACAACGGTTGACCACCGCTGTTTGACCATCTGTTTGGGGGTGATAAGCCGTGCTCATCCGCAAACGAGTCTGGCTCAATTTGAATAGTTCCTGCCAAAACGCACTTAAAAACAAAGGATCACGATCTGAAACAATTGATCTTGGCATGCCATGCAATTTCACAATTTCTTCACAGAACCTGGCTGCCACACTTTTTGCAGTGTATGGATGGGCTAAACCAATAAAGTGACAGTACTTGCTGAGACGATCAACAACCACAAAAATAGAATCATAGTGTCCTGATTTTGGTAATCCCACCACAAAATCAATCGAAATGTCTTCCCAAATTTGCTGAGGTATGGGTAAAGGTTGTAACAACCCGGCAGGCGAAAGCGTGTCATATTTGCTTTTTTGGCAAACAAAACATTGTTGAATGAAAGTTTTAACATCAGCTTTCATTTGGGGCCAAAAAACCGTATCGGACAGTTTCTTTAAAGTCTTTAAGAACCCCCCATGCCCCCCTGATGGTGTCATGTGTGCTTCCTCTAATAGCTTCGCACGGATGGTCGAGCTTCTTGGAATGACTAACCTGCCGTTGTAGTAAAGTTTCTGCTGGATCAAGGAGTAGTCTGGTTTAGATTTGGCGTCACGCTTCAAAGCCTCAATGATGGGTGCCGTGAATGGATCTTGCTGCAATGCCTCAAGATTCAGATAGTCAAGAGGTACTGGTATTACCATGTGTAAGAAATCTGCATGTTGAGGCCTCCGGGACAAAGCATCTGCGCCTACATTCTCTTTTCCAGCTTTGTAAATAATGCTGAAATCAAATGGGAGAAGTTTCAGAATAAGGCGCTGCTGACTATTAGTGAGAGTTTTCTGCTCCATGAGGCACTTGAGGCTGTGATGATCAGTTCTAACTGTGAAGTGGCGTCCCAGCACATAATGACGCCAATGTTGTATGGCTAAGACCACAGCTAACAACTCCCGGTCGTATGTAGATCTGTACCTGTTTGAAAAAGAGAAACCCTTGCTATAGAAAGCAATGGGATGACCTTTTTGCAAAAGAATAGCGCCTATTCCATAACTTTGTACGAACCGGCGGTAGTATCCAGTAAGTCCTAGAAATCCCCGTAATTCAGTTGCATTGCTAGGCACTGGCCAATCTCTTACTGCGGCAATCTTCTCACATTGCGTCTCCACGCCATGAGAAGAGATTTTATGTCCCAAAAAGGAGACTCGAGTCCGTCCTAGTTCACACTTCTTCGCATTTACATGATATGAGTGTTGCTGCAATGTTGATAAAATAGTGCGAAGGTGCTCCCTGTGTTGATCTACATCCTTGCTATATATTAAGATATCGTCAAAAAAAACCAACACAAACTTTCTTAAGTGAGGTCTAAAAAGATCGTTCATTGCTGCCTGGAAAGTAGCCGGAGCATTAGTGAGGCCGAATGGCATGACGACATATTCATAGTGTCCATTATGAGTTCTAAAAGCCGTTTTGGGAATATCGGCCTCTAAAACTCTAATTTGGTGATAGCCAGAGCGAAGGTCAATTTTTGAAAAACAAACAGCACCATTCAACTCATCCAATAGTTCATCAATATTGGGAATAGGATACTTATCTGGGATGGTGAGTTTGTTGAGTGCCCTGTAATCAACACACATACGCCATGTTTCATCCTTTTTCTTTACTAAGAGCACCGGACTGGCAAACGGACTTGAACTGTGACGGATGAAACCCTTCTGAAGCAACTCATTAACCTGTCTTTCAATCTCATTTTTCTGAAAATATGGACACCTGTAAGGTCTCAAATTAGGTGGAATTGATCCAGGAAGAAGAGGAATCGNGGGCACTCAACAAACTCACCATCCCAGATAAGTATCCTATTCCCAATATTGATGAACTATTGGATGAGTTGAATGGTGCTGTTTGTTTTTCAAAAATTGACCTTCGCTCTGGCTATCACCAAATTAGAGTTTTAGAGGCCGATATTCCCAAAACGGCTTTTAGAACTCATAATGGACACTATGAATATGTCGTCATGCCATTCGGCCTCACTAATGCTCCGGCTACTTTCCAGGCAGCAATGAACGATCTTTTTAGACCTCACTTAAGAAAGTTTGTGTTGGTTTTTTTTGACGATATCTTAATATATAGCAAGGATGTAGATCAACACAGGGAGCACCTTCGCACTATTTTATCAACATTGCAGCAACACTCATATCATGTAAATGCGAAGAAGTGTGAACTAGGACGGACTCGAGTCTCCTTTTTGGGACATAAAATCTCTTCTCATGGCGTGGAGACGCAATGTGAGAAGATTGCCGCAGTAAGAGATTGGCCAGTGCCTAGCAATGCAACTGAATTACGGGGATTTCTAGGACTTACTGGATACTACCGCCGGTTCGTACAAAGTTATGGAATAGGCGCTATTCTTTTGCAAAAAGGTCATCCCATTGCTTTCTATAGCAAGGGTTTCTCTTTTTCAAACAGGTACAGATCTACATACGACCGGGAGTTGTTAGCTGTGGTCTTAGCCATACAACATTGGCGTCATTATGTGCTGGGACGCCACTTCACAGTTAGAACTGATCATCACAGCCTCAAGTGCCTCATGGAGCAGAAAACTCTCACTAATAGTCAGCAGCGCCTTATTCTGAAACTTCTCCCATTTGATTTCAGCATTATTTACAAAGCTGGAAAAGAGAATGTAGGCGCAGATGCTTTGTCCCGGAGGCCTCAACATGCAGATTTCTTACACATGGTAATACCAGTACCTCTTGACTATCTGAATCTTGAGGCATTGCAGCAAGATCCATTCACGGCACCCATCATTGAGGCTTTGAAGCGTGACGCCAAATCTAAACCAGACTACTCCTTGATCCAGCAGAAACTTTACTACAACGGCAGGTTAGTCATTCCAAGAAGCTCGACCATCCGTGCGAAGCTATTAGAGGAAGCACACATGACACCATCAGGGGGGCATGGGGGGTTCTTAAAGACTTTAAAGAAACTGTCCGATACGGTTTTTTGGCCCCAAATGAAAGCTGATGTTAAAACTTTCATTCAACAATGTTTTGTTTGCCAAAAAAGCAAATATGACACGCTTTCGCCTGCCGGGTTGTTACAACCTTTACCCATACCTCAGCAAATTTGGGAAGACATTTCGATTGATTTTGTGGTGGGATTACCAAAATCAGGACACTATGATTCTATTTTTGTGGTTGTTGATCGTCTCAGCAAGTACTGTCACTTTATTGGTTTAGCCCATCCATACACTGCAAAAAGTGTGGCAGCCAGGTTCTGTGAAGAAATTGTGAAATTGCATGGCATGCCAAGATCAATTGTTTCAGATCGTGATCCTTTGTTTTTAAGTGCGTTTTGGCAGGAACTATTCAAATTGAGCCAGACTCGTTTGCGGATGAGCACGGCTTATCACCCCCAAACAGATGGTCAAACAGCGGTGGTCAACCGTTGTCTTGAAGCTTATTTAAGGTGTTTCGCCCATGAACAACCCAAGGTATGGAGTAAGTATTTATGTTGGGCTGAATACTCTTTCAACACTAGTTATCATGTTTCCACCGGCACAACACCTTTTAAGGCAGTTTATGGGCGAGATCCACCACCACTTCATCCATTTGTCCCCGGTGAAACTCAAGTAGAAGAGTTGGCACAACAATTGCTCATGAGGGATGCGATTCTCAAATTACTCCATGATAACTTACTTAGGGCACAGAACCGCATGAAGGCATATGCGGACCAACAACGCCGGGAGTTACATTTCAATGTTGGCGAGTCAGTTTTTCTGAGAATTCAGCCCTTTAGGCAGCGTTCCTTGACCAATCAGAAGTATATGAAACTCTCTCCGCGTTTTTTTGGACCTTACAAAATATTGCGAAAGATCGGAGAGGTTGCATACGAGCTTGAATTACCTACATCAGCTAGAATCCATCCTATTTTTCATGTGTCATTACTACGACCAGCTCATGGGCAGTCTCCCACCACTCCACCAGCGGAACTACCCATTTCACCTGACATGGAGCTACTATTAGAGCCTGAAAATGTTCTGCAAACACGCTCGAAGGCTGACACAGTAGAAGTGTTAGTACAATGGAAAGGCCGACCGCCGGAAGAGGCTACCTGGGAAGAGTATGATTTGGTGGCGTCACAATTTCCAGATTTTCGACTTGAGGACAAGTCTGTTTTCCAGGGAGGGAGTAATGATAGGACTCTGAATAAGACTAAGCCACTGATCAGCGGCGCAGGAATAAGCATTTGACTTAGTCATGTTTTATGACTTGGTCATGTTTATTTATTTATTTACCTAAATATGAGTCTATCCCTTTTTATTAGTAATTGAGTCAGTCAAAGTTGTTAGTCATTTAAAATATCCCTTTTTATTAGCAATTGGGTCAGTCAAAGTTGTTAGAGTCAGCTGAGATAATGGTGGGATGATGGGATCACCATCTAAACCCAAGGAGTCAGTTTCTCTTTTCTGTTATTTCCCTTGTATTACTGCATTATTTATACCCTTAGCCAGTTTATGCTAAAGGGCAGGAGTAATATTACATTTATATTTTCAGAGATTCTCTTGGGCTTCTTAGTCTCAAAAATCGAGATTCTTGATTTAAAGAGATCTAGAAGATTTGTTCTTGTTTTTAGTTTCCAGTTTTTGGTATCTATCACCTATTCACTAATTGCATGCCAAATTTGTTGATGTTTTCTTGTCTTCCCATTCTCTTGTTTTCCCATTAGCATTTCCAATTAAGACATTCTCTCTTGCAACATGCATATAATCCTATGGATTCACATTCTTCTTCCATCTTCTATAGTGCAGCCATGGTTACAGCATACTTAATGAGGTCTGAGCAGCTATCATATAAAGGTATTATAAAAGGAAAACTGCACTTTTAGCCCCCCACCCCATTGTTTGATATTGTGCAATGGAATATGCCTTCCTTTTTCTTTCTTTTTTTGAAAATATATTGTCCTTATGAGTAAAGTCACTGTTTACACTGTTAAATATTAGGCCTTTTGAGCTATATGGGCATTCTCAATATAGAAGATTACCCATGAGCCTAAACATTAAACAGTGATTTTAACAAGGACCAAGTTTATCTCAGCTATAACAATTGAAGGAGGTAGGAGGTTATATAATGCCAACCCATTCAGGGGGATAAAAATACAACTTTCCTTAATCCTTAGAATAATTATTTTTCAGTTGTATCATTCTTTTAGTGGTTTGTTTCACGCCTTATTTATGACCTTCTATTTTAGTGAAGACGATTTGACCATCATTTGTGTTTATTATTTCCAAACACCCAGTCGTCCCCTAACTTCATTTCTCTTCCTTTCTCCTGCATGTTCTGATTCTGAAGATGCAATTGAATTGTTATCTCAAAGCTGCGATTCTGTTTGCCCCAATGATGGTTTTGTAGATCAGGTGATACAGACCTTTCAAATTGTTTTATGAGCTGGCATCTCGATTGCCTTATGTACATGCCCAGTTTCTCAGCGCTAAGTTGAGAATATGTTTTCTTCGTGTGCCTTCAGTTGAAAATGTTTGAAGAAATGGGCTTCAAGGTTAATCATGCCAGTTCCATTTACAAACGGTTTCACTTAAAAAAATTAGGTCCAGTTCCTTACCTTATTCGTCTTTCCACATATTTATACTTCCTCCGGCCCTCAAAGATCTTCTTTCTTTGACTTCACGGAGTTTAAAAAATGTTGAAACGTGAAAAGTGTGGTAAAAATGTGTGTAGAAGATTGAAATTTTGAGTCACATATTCATTTCATTTAAAGAAAATGAGAAAAGTTGGAAGTTGATTTTGGGACATCCCCAAAAGGAATAGAGAAGATCTTTGCAGGACGGAGGGAGTATATAGATAATTATGATTTTCTTCTGTCAATGTCTATTATGCATGTGATTAAACAAACACACTAGTTGCTTTTAGCTCTTGTGACTGGTGTTTTCAATCTCGATCTTCATGACATTTTTTGTTGTGTATCTGTGTTTATTATTATTAGTAGTATTATTATTATTAAATTTTTTAAAATGTATACATCTAAAACTTAGACGTCACAAAACATAGCCCTCTTTGTTAGTTGTTGAAAGTGAAATATGGAATAACATAGGAGAAATTGTGACATTGCTGAAATGAACCTGTACTTTTCAACTTAATCCCACTCAAGTTTTAGTTCAGCACTCTATTTATCTTTCAGTTCTAAATAAGAGACCCTACATAATCCAGTTCTGTACTCCTGTTCTTAACAAAGAGTCCTTTTTTGAAAAGAGGAATATAATTTGCTACACACATGTGGCCACACGCATACACATTATAGTTATGCCTTGTTATGATAAAAAAATGTTTATTGTCCTCTTTTTTCTTATAATAAATAATTAAAGATTGTACATTAGTGAAATGTAACTTTTTTTTGGAAGTGGGGAGGAGGTAGTAGTACTTATTAATTGGGAGAGAGAAAATAGGAGCGGGGCGGATTGACATGGTACAGTTTATATATATATATGATATATCCAGGTGAGAGCTATAATTGTGGGGAAACAATAGATGCATCCAAGTTTGCAGAAGATCCTGCTTTGCCACCAAGAACACAAAAGATCACCCCGTTTGTTGATGATGAGCAGAAGTCCTCGAGTATGAAAGCTGCCATTCCTACTCAAGCATACCGCTGCAAGAAATGTAGGAGGATAGTTGCACTGCAAGACAATGTTGTTGATCATGTTCCTGGAGAGGGTGAATCGGCTTTTGCATGGTCTAAAAGGAGAAATGGCCTTCCTTTTGACAAAGGAGACGACAATGAGTGTTCATCCCTCTTTATTGAGCCTCTTCAGTGGATGACAACAGGTGCTGCCCTTTTCTTTTTTCTTCATCTTTAGTTTATCACCTGTATTGTCTACCAAAACTAACTTTATTTCAATTGGCTAATATGAGTAATAAAAGAAAGTTTGGCCGAAGCTGTCGCTCTTTTGTTTATATGGTTTAAGGCTAATAATTAAAGGAAGTATGGCAGAAATTATTGATATTTTTTCTCAAATGTTTTAACAGGAGATAAATGACAGAATGACGCTATCATCACATAAAAGTTCGTTTTGAATACAGCCAGCTTGGTAAAGAGTATTTTCGCTAATATGCTTGCTTTGGTAATATATAATTTCCAAGCAGAATAAGCCAAATAATTTACGTTTCGGAGCCTTAGCTCATTCTGTGAAACTTGCCTCTACCAAATGGGCTCATGATCTTCTGCATCATGCATTTTATATCTCATGAAAGAATAAACATGGCGTTCAAAAAAGTAAATAAATAGTAGGAGATCTAGATTCCATCATTGTTCAAGTCCATCCCTTTCAACTATTGTCTTCTTCATCAGCCTAATACTCCATATGTCCCAAAATGATGTTTATACTTTCCTTTTTTGGATGTCTCAAAATGAAGTTCACACTTTTCACTTTCCCTTTTAGGAAACAAATGTGTCTCTTATAATTCCTCTTTCTTTTGAATAAGTTTCAACCACATACCTTTCACCTTACACTTTTCTTGAACTCTGCAAAGACAAACTGTAAGCTTCATTTTGGGACGGTGGGAGTAATTATTACTCTCTCTGCCCTCGAATTAAATTCATGGTTTGAGTTCATGGAGTTTAATAAAAAATGTTGAGAAGTAGAGAGCGTGTTGGGTTATTTTCACTTTGCACCCCTTAAAAGGGAATAATTAATAAGTGGATTAACACCCTCAAAATGAAATTATTAAAAAGTGCACTCCCAAAGATAGTACAATAGCACTCTAAAGTGAACACTCAAAAATATTATGACACTCCAATATGAACCATCAAATATACTAAAGCGCTCCAAAGTGCACCCTCAATGCATTTTCAAACTAATTTTCTTTAAAAAAAATTAAAAGCTCTGGTCAGTCCAATGTGTATTTTCTTGAGCACCCCTTTTTCTTCCAAAACCTCAACCAAAACTAGTCGTGTATTGCCACTATAACAAAAGAGTTGAGTCTGGCTGGAGATTTTTACAGAGCAGCAAGATTCCAATTTTGAAAGGAAAAGAGGCTTCTCAATTGAAAATACTCCTAAACTTGATCGAAGTTGTTTAAGCTTTGCATGAAACCAGACTGAAAATGTGTGAATGTGCGCTTTGAAGTGTTTTATTATTTTCAAGGGTGCACCTATTAGTTTACTAATTTTTTCTTTCTGAGGGTGCAAAGTGATAATTATTCCCCTTCTAGAAGTGTGAATTACCCAAGTGTGAAGTTACATTTTGTGAGGGAGCCATTTTTTGTTCTTACATGCCACATGGTTATGGTGCACAGTTGGAGAGGGTGCTCTGGAAGGAAAGCTCTCCTGCATCCATTGCGAGGCTCGGCTTGGCTACTTCAATTGGTCAGGCATTCAGTGCAATTGCGGAAGTTGGATCACCCCTGCCTTTCAGCTCCACAAAAGCCGGGTGGACCTCAGCACTTTGTGAAATTTCATCACATGTGAGATCAGGCATCGCCCCGCTACAGAGGTAGATAAGCCTAACCCTTCTTGCATAAGAGATATCTTCCTTGTGTTCCATGAGGTGATCTTAGTAGCTAGCTTCTCAATCAACTTCTCACAATCTGTTTCACCAAGTCTTGCAGATCTAATTGGGCTACCAAGACAGTCAAAAGGACATATTGGTCATCCCCAAAACCTTGTGTTCCTTTTCAGAATTCACTCCTCCAATAATAATCTGAGACTTTGCTTGGTTGATATATAATCTTGTTGTTTGATAGAATTAACAGGATCCTGCCTTTAGAGTTCTCATCACTCATCAGACTACAATCAATTCATCAGCAAAACAAAAGTTAATAACTTTTAACTCTTTGCACATGAGATGTTGTTCTGAATCTACCATCTTGTGCATGAAGCTTGTACATCTGATCCCCCCCCTTTAAAGAACCTTTGGCTCTCTCCAACCAATGAATTTTGAAATGAAAATTTAGAGTACTGCAAAATATGTTCTATTGCCAACTAGCTTGATTAAGAAGTTGATTTGTTCCTTCTTTACATCCAAGCATGGAACAACAACAACAACTACTACTACTACTACTTAATGCATCTTCATCGTTCTTCCTTCTTACCGTTTATTAAACATTTCAGCTTCGTCATATAAAGGAGAAAATGGGTAACCAGGTACTCCAAGACTTGGATGACGCCATAAATATATTTGGGATATAGTTTAAAATTACTGTGCCGAAATGAAGTATTGCTTAAACTTCGTATACCATTTGTGAAATTTATCCGAATAAAACATGATATATACTCCGTTGTTTTTAAAAAGATCTTTATATTTGATTTTTCACGATCATCACTGCGATATTTTGATTGTTAATAATTGCGGAGTACAAGTTTACGTAAATAAATATTACTCCCTCCGTCCCGGAGTATTCGTTCAGTTTTGACTTTTGGAACTGTTCATCAAAGCACTTTGACTCATCAAATTCTCTCAATGTGTAAGCTTAAATATAGTCATGTGTGATCTTGTTTGATTTGTCTTAATATATAGATTATTAATATATAATTTCTATAATTTTTTAATATACAAATTACAAGCTAAAATGGATTAAAGAAGTGTATTGGATGGTGTGTAAAAATGAAAGTGGACAAATACTCTGGAAGGGAGTTAGTACTATCTTCGTTCCAATGTATTCTTCTAGTTTGACATTTTTGAGTCAAACTGATCGAACTTATGGCTTCAATTAAACACAATTGTAAAGTACGTAAGTATAAAAATGATTTTATTAGATTTATCTTGTTGAGAATTTTTAAAATTTAATTTTCTTATATTAAAATGCTTTAAAAATTAAGAGTATCCATGATTAAAGTTCGCCATGTTTGTCTCAAAAAAATCAAGTTGGATAAATACAATGGGACGTAGCTTAGGGATTATAAAAATTTAATATATCAAAAATTATATTTTAAGATGAATTTTTTTCTTTTTTTCACAAAAACTACACTTGATCTTAGCCAAAAGGCCGAGAAAGGTATATTTTTAAAGAGGAATTAAATTATATTTACATTATACTCCATGTGTTTGGGAAAAAACTTCCCAAATTGAATTTTCACGCTAGAATGCTAGATGAGGTGGGTATGGTGTATTAACAAAAGAGTGAGTGTAGATGTGGTATTTTAAAATATTACTTCGTAAAAATGAAATTTGGAAGATTATTTTCAAACAACCAAAAATATGATTTGAAATTATCGTTTTTGGACGAAGGAAGTAACTAAATACGAGCAGGGCCGGCTGGAGGCAGGGGCAGCCTGGCCATTGGGACAGGGCCCATTTTTCTAGGGGGCCCAAGTATTATATATATATATACATACATACATACATACATACATACATACATACATACATACATACATACATACATACATACATACATATATATATATATATATATACGGCCCGGTTCCAGTGCCACTGGCATATATATATATATATATATATATATATATATATATATATATATATATATATATATATATATATGTTCAAGTGAGAATGCGATCTTATGAAAGAAATAAGAATGAATCTGGTGCTTTAGATTGTGAGATCTAAGGGTCAAGATTAGATCAAAATTAGATGCACCAAAATGGTTTGAAAATGCATGATGTCGAAATGCACAAAAAACCTTTGAAAATGCACTATCTCAAAATCTGAGCGCAGGATACAATCTGAGCCGCACGATGCATCAGATCCAAAGGCTAGATTTTATTCTTATTTCTTTCACCAAGGTGCATTCTCACCTGATCCTGCCCCTATATATATATGTGTGTGTGTGTGTGTGTATGTATGTACACATTTGTTTATTAATATAAAAAATTTAAAACACAAAAAAGTAAAGGGCAGTGGGCCTAGTATTTTATATTTTATTATTCTTATTTGTATAATTTAATTATTTTTAAATAAAGTAATTGATAGATTTTATTATATTATGACACAATGACCAATTTTTCTATGTGTCGTACATGGTCCTTAATTTCTCGGAGACGACCCTGAATACGAGTATATTATATCATAATTTATGGTGAAAGTTTATAATATTTCACCAAAAACTAAAATGTAACTACTCCCTCCGTCCGGGAATAAGCTTCCTACTTTGACTTTTCCTCATTTTTAGTGAGGGTTGAATACATCATCAAAATGTCCAAATTACCCTCATTTTGCCCCCCACTATCATTCCTTTGCACAAGCCCCACCGCCGCCCCTCCACTGCCGCCGCCCCTCCACCGGCCCAGCCCCACCACCCGACTGCTACCCTGACCCACTGTTTCCCCACCGCTGCACAAGCATCATCGCCGGCCCATCGTTGCCTCAGCCTCACAACCACCACACCGCCCACCACTGTCCTGCCCCCACAGCTACAGATCTAACACAAATCTACAAGAAGGAGAAGGAGAAGGAGAAGAAGAAGAAGAAGAAGGTGGATCGGGAAGAGATATATGACCTGGCCGAGAAAGGAAAGAAAGAAACCAGAAAAAAAGGGGGAAGAGAGAGAGGAAGATAAGGCCAGATTTGGCCGTGGGGAAGAAAGAAATATTGAGAAAAGAAAAAAGGAGAGGGGGGAAGAGAGAGATAGAGAAGTAGAGAAGGGGGGTTGCGGACTGGCGATTGAGGAGGAGTAGAAAAGAGAGGGGAGATGGGGAAGGGGAAGAAGGGTAATTTTGGAAGAGTGGGTTTGAAAAAGTAGAGTAGGAAGATTTTTTTCGGACGAAAAAAAAGGTAGTGTAGGAAGTTTATTCTTGGACGGAGGGAGTATTTTTAAGTCGTAGTTTTTTAAATATGTACGGAGTAATTTTTATTTCTTATTAATGTATAAATTTGTAAATACAATGATTTCAAAAAATTAAAGATTTCGTCTCGCAACCCCAAATATGTAATCAAATTAGGGACCCCAAATATGTAATCAAATTAGGGACGAAGTGAGTAGCTGTCTAGCTGATACACTTTTATACACACAAAAAATCATCAAATACAACTCTTCATATTGATTAGTCTATCCGATTCATTTGGATGGCATCTCTTGATCTCCCTACATAACATATCATCATTTTCCAAGTATCCTTTTTAGGGAATAAATAAAAGGAAAGGTGACTTAGGTCGCATTACGTTCGCTTGATCTGATATGATTTTTTGAAGATCTAATCTAATTTGATTGCATTTATAATTGAAGATGTTTCCGATCTGATTTGGTCTAGTTTGATCGAATCTGATTTGATCTGATTATAATAAGAATAAGTAATACTATCTCCGTCCCAGTGTATTTGTCCAGTTTGACTTTTTCGAGTCAAACTAGACAAATTTTGAACTCCAATTACTCTGAATTTATATTGTATATTAGCATAATGAAATACAATTTTGAAAATTCTCAATACGATAAATCCAATAAAGTCATTTTATGTTAAAATATATTATGATTTTTATTTAATTGAGTCTCAAAATTTGTCCGATTTTATTCAAAAAAATCAAACTAAACAAATACACTGAGACGGAGAGACTAAGCACCAAAAATAAGTGGAAGGAACCGTACGTGCCTTAGTCACAAAGAAATCTCTTTCTAACAGTCTACTTATACGTTGTTACAAGCCCCCAAAAGGTTGAAGACGTGCCGGTGACTAACGCAGCTACCCGCCGGAATATTCTTCTTCCCCTGAGGTATGCCGTCCTTTCTCCCGGCCCTATCTCTTATTCTCATCGGAATCAATGTGTTATGTGTAGCTGTTATATTAGTTGATGTTTGATTCATTTTAATTTCATTCCTTTATACAGGAAATCTGGTAAACACGGCTAATTACGATCATTGCTCCGCTTAGACCATATCTGTAGTTGAAAAGTTCTTATCAGAGTTTAATTACTGCATAAGAGAAATTCTGTGTTTATGTTCTTAAAAGTCCACCTCCTAATGCGAAGAACTTTAGAATTAAGATGAATGTTAGTATTTTTGTTTCAATGCCGCTATCTAATAAATAGCTAGATTATTTAATTCCCGGATCAGATTGTGAAACATGCCTTATCAAGTTCGCGAGAATCTGTTAATCGGGAACATGAGAGATGCTGCCGAGATTCTCCAGCAAGGCAGCGAGCGGATTACGCACATACTATCAGTCAACAGCTCTGCTTCATTTTCATTTTTATGGCGCACTGAGCCAGCGATCCCGGCCCAGGAGATTCGTAAGGTGTATTTTGGTGGTAATGGATCAAACCAGAAGCTCATGTACTTGTTGGAGCATGTTGGGAAGGATCTGAAGTTTGTGAGGATGGCAGTGGCTCTAAGGGATGTGGAGAGTGAGAACTTGCTGGGTAATTTGGAAGTGTGTTTGGATTTCATTGAAGAAAGTAGGAAAAAGGGGGGTGTGCTGGTGCATTGTTTTGCCGGTGCCTCAAGAAGGTACGCAGTCTCTAAATCCAATGTCTGGTTATTTGTTCGAGTTGTATTTACTGCTGAGTTATATGACTTTGGTCTATCATATCTAGAAGAGCCGAGCTGCTGTTAGTTCAAAATACGTAGCTCAGGCTTTGTTGTTCTTGTTTGTTGATAATATTACGTTATACGAGTTATGCTGGTATGACTTCTTATTGATATTATTCTGTATAGAAATACGTTATGCAAGTTATGCTGGTATGACTTCTTAAATGGAAGAAATGACCAAAAATTATTTGGAGGAATTTGTGTAGTTTCACTCATCATGGAATGGCGAAAGATGCACGCACTCTGTTTTTTTGAACCGAAGATGATGAGATATTCATGTATCAATCGGAGTTTGCATTTTCCAAATGTGCCTATTCTTCACTAATTGCATGCCGGATTTGTTGATGTTTTCTTCTCTTCCCATTCTCTTGTTTTTTTCCCATTAGTATTCCTAGTTGAGACTTTCTTCTTTCCATTTTCTATAGTGCAGCTGTGGTTACAGCATACTTGATGAGATCTGAGCAGCTATCATATAAA